CCACGGAGGCTGCCGAGCGCTGGGCATGTGGCTGGGGGGCCAGGGACTGAGTTTTGACTGTCACTGAAATGTATGTGACGTGGACGGAACAGCCACACGCGGCTGGTGGCTCCCCTAGGGGACGAGGCCTTTCGAGAGGGAGGCCAGGCAGGGCAGCCGGGCCCCGGGGCGGGTGAGGGGGAGCCGACCAGGAACCACGGGCCCTGGGGAAACCTGTGGTTTTCTTCAGGGGCCGGGTCTGCCCAGGTCTCACGTGACTGTGCCTGCGTGCGTATGTCTGTGTGACTGTGTGTCCGTGCCTGTGTGTGTGCATCTGTATGTCTGTGCACATGTGCATGTGTGTCTCTGTGTGTATGCCTGTGAGGCCGTGCATGTGTATGTGTATGTGCAGCTGTGTGTGCATGCATCAGTGTGAGACTGTGCATGTGTGTGCATGACTGAATGCATGTGTGTGTGTGCCTGTGAGGCCATGCATGTGTGTGTGTGCGCCTGTGAGGCCATGCATGTGTGTTTGCGTGCACATGCATCAGTGTGTGTGTGTGTGTGTGCACGTGCAGCTGTGTGCATGCATCAGTGTGAGGCCGTGCCTGCGTGTGTGACTGAATGCATGTGTGTGCATGCATCTGTGCGACTACAAGTGTGCATATGTGTGTGTGTGTTTGTGCACGTGCATCAGTGTGACCGTGCGTGCGTGTGTGACTGTGAATGCATGTGTGTGCATGCATCTGTGCGACTACATGTGTGCATATGTGTGTGTGTGTCTGTGCATGTGCATCGGTGTGACCCTGCGTCCGTGCAGAGTGGGCGGCAGTGGGAGGCTGCGGTCGGGTGCAGGGGCGCCCTCAGCAGTGCCCCCTGCCCCCGCGGTGCCCAGGAGCAGAAGTTCTGCCAGCGCTATGACCAGCTCATGGAGGCCTGGGAGAAGAAGGTGGAGCGCATCGAGAACAACCCGCGGCGGCGGGCCAAGGAGAGCAAGGTGCGCGAGTACTACGAGAAGCAGTTCCCGGAGATCCGCAAGCAGCGCGAGCTGCAGGAGCGCATGCAGAGGTGAGC